ATAAGTAAACAAATCTTTTCTGTGTGTGTTTTTTAGAGTCAGTTATATGACGTAATTTTCGCGATACTGCGTAGTTAAAGTAAAAGAAAATTACTAGCGAGATTCAATTAGTGGAATTCTCGAATGCGATAAAAAAATTGCGCGGGTCATTCATTACAGTAGATTGTGTCTCTCGTGTTCCCACACTTTTTATAGTTTTTTTAATGTACGTCGATCAATAATGTGAAACAGGTTTCGTGCATAAACTTGCCAACGATTTTAAGGTTTTATATGAGTTTGTGCAATTATTCATATTACATATTATTATAAATGTCTATTTATCCTTATAGGAAAGAAAAGTTACTGCACACTGTACAATGCCCATGCCTAACCTTGCCTAGTAATTGCCAAGTTATTCTTGTAATTAATATATTGGAATTAATTATTGGTTTATGTATTATGCGTATAAATATGGTTCTGATGTACTTATGACAAAAAATATTTAAATTATATTACAGCTTACCAGCCTTTATGAATAAACCATTGCTCTTTCAACAGCGTTGAATATCTAGCGGTATAATGCATGTCACCCAAGTACATTACAGATAAAAAGTTAACGGCACGATCAATACGCTGTCACAACTTTAATTTAGCTCATTTCATCTTGTCGTCATGGTTAGATATATTCTTAATGTTATGACATGGAAAAACGTAACTTATATGTACGATTTAGTGCAGAAACATTAGCGATTCCGTACAAACTCAAGCTCTTGTAATGCTACAGCAGTTTAAATAGGAGTTTTTAATCTTAATGTGTTACACATTATCAGATTTATGTATTCTTCTTCACTTGTAAGTACTTTTCTTCCTGTATGATCTGTAAAACTAGCATTCTGTATGTGTATCCACACAAATTCGTGGCAAAGCAAACAAACAGAAATACTAAAACTCTTAACAAGAAAACGAGGTTAACAAATGTGGGCATTTGGAGTCTAGATATCAGAGGAGAGCTGTCTTTATTGTCATCTTAGTTTATAAAAGCTAAAACAGAGAACATTTTAGATTTTCTTTTCAGTTTATGGCTCTATTGCGTACAGTTTATAATCTGGAATAATACGAGATCGAGTCTCGAACTGCCTTGATCAAGGTGTTCAGTTTTGTTCTGTGATGATATCCGGTGTCGTAATTTAGATTTTCGTCATTAAATCAACAAGGAACGGACATAAACGTGCAGCTCGCTGCTGCAGTTTGTGGAATTTTCTTTTTTCCGTTTCTAGAGGTGATGAATAAAATGCGCGAGACGAACAATAGCGGCCTATATTTGGACACTTCTGCGCATCTGCTATTACGTTCCCTTGTGAGCCAATCAGCGTCAGACACGTGTTGTACGTTGAGTCTGCTAGTAGTGTTGAACGTGTCTCATGTGGATGTTGTGTTCATGATATATTGTGTGAATATCGCGTTTACGTTAAGCGAATTGTTGATATTTAGGATTGTGTACACAATTGGTTTATTAAAACATGGAATGTGAAGGCGCCAGGCTCCACAGATTTAGTGTATAAAGTATTCAGTGACTTAAAGCGTGGAGCAGACGTAGTTTGCGTATATGAGCTCACGCCTTCGTTTGTGTCGTCAATATACACGCAATACACAGCGTTTCAACCGTATCTACGTACTCATTGCTACTATTCGCCTATTAACTGTACCAATGTTGCCTAAGGCTCTTTGGAAACTGCGTCGACTGGAATCTGAGACAGCCGAGAGCACCTGGAGCCACTTCTTCCCAAAGGACACCAACGCATGATACGTGTATGAGCTGACAACAAGCCATTATGGAGCAATGGAGGATGTCACCGGTGATGGTTGGGATGTAATGGATCCAGGGGGGAGACAGGACGTGACACGCGCGACATTGCCGTTACTCACAACCACCGGCATCTGACACGTGACTGTGACGTCATCATGATCCTTTCACATCCATTTGTCAAGCAAACGCTGATTCAGTCCTGTGACTGTGTTGACGGTAGTATATGGAGTTGCTTGGGTCACCTACTGCAGTTCTGGATCTGGTGTCGTTGGAAGGAGAAATAAAGCAATTACTGTATATAGTAGTACGATTAGATTTATGTCGCACGAACGCGAAACTTGAACGCTTGGACAAGCCTGAGATTGTAGTGGACTTCTATTTTGTGAGTTTTTAACGTGATTCTTAAAATTAAAGCATAATGGGGCATTCTTCTGTTTCAACTCGGGAACTAAAAAATGAATTTTGATTAAATCTGGTGCAAATCAAAATATGTCGCTCAGAAAATCGACGAATAATATGATACATTGATCACTTTAAGGTTTAAAACTTGTACTTGATGTTACATACGACTACTAATATTTAACGAAATGTAATAAAACTATATAATTCCGATCGACAAACGTCGTTACCTGCTATTTATATTCGGTTCTGATATCTTACGCACTACGAAACTTCACCTAGATCTTTACGTTGCATATAAAAGTATAGGAACTATTATGAACGCGCTGTACTACACGAATTTTTTTCGTTTCTATCTGAGCAGCGAGTAACATGTAAGCCGCTGTTACGTATTCCGAGTGCTCGCCGCTCGTGGTGGCAATCTGATCAGAAGTTAGCTTTTCAGCCTGTCTGCTCTGTCCACGAACGAGATGGATCGGCAACAAACTAGCTTAACGGTTCGCAACCCATTGCCTGTGAACCCCGTCTGCACGTCGTTTTATTGCCAGATAAATTCTCTGGAAGTCACTCTAATTCCTTCTCTCCGCGCGCTGCTATAAACTTTATGAACTCAGCTTCTTTTATACGAGTCTTTCAACATTCATAATCCTTACACTCTCATAAAAGAAAATTGTCAGTGTGTTAATATCGAGGTACTAATTTAACAGGGTGTGGTTTTGATGAAATACGTGTCATATGTGCTGAAGATTCACAAATGAATCTTAAGTGGTATCATTTTAGTATTAAATTAGCGTACTTAAATTATGAGTAACAATACCTTACAAAATTTATACGCCATTAAGCTATTAAATTTTATTGTACTATATGCGAGTCTGAAGAGCACAATATAACATTTTATATAACTCACTAAATCTGTAACATTTCATAACGAAAGGGGGGATTGTGTAGCATTTTCAGTTGACTAGGGGGTCCAAGGGCCCTCCCTCAGGAAATTTTTGGAATATAAGGTAGATTATTAACCAACTTGTGTATAACAAATTCAATTTTCAGCCTTGAAGGTGCAGGCAGTGTGATTCACCGAAACCCTGGCATCTATCAACGAGTCCTTCTAGATTTCTTTACTGTGGTGTTCTCCAAAATCTTTCCCCATGAAAGTTCTATGTAAATGCGTAGTCCCTTCTAGTCACAAGTTCAACCCATGGTTATATTCTTGATTTAAATATTCTAACAGTAATAGGTGACATAAAACAACAGTTTATAGTTATATACGCCCTGTAGAAATTTGTAGTGTCAGCATCCAAAAGCAGATCCACCATCAATAAGAAAGCTTAATGTATATTTAGAGTTAGGTTATATCCTGAATTACTCATTTATCTTTCCATAGCCTAATTAATCTTGTATCGTTATATGAATTAGGCCTGTACAATAAAATCGAAGGCTAGAAATGCAGTAAAATAATCTGTGAAATTGGTTCTCCATAGTAAAGCAATCCGGAAATCTTTCTTTACTGAGAGCTACCACACTTCGTTTAGCAGGCAGGAAGTAAGAACGCTCTGGTTGGGAACTGAGGCAGTCAAGGGTTGCCTCCGTGTGTATCGAATAGCCTCTTCTCCCTCGTGTTGTCTCTCTTTAGGATCGAATGTTCCTTTGTACGCTCAGTTTTTCACATTTGTACGCCGTTTCAAGAATATTTCATTTATGTTTTTTTTTCTTTGCGTTGTTCCTTTTCGTTTTGTTTCGCCCTATCTTGTTTCACTGACAACAAAACGCACGTGAAGGCCGGAGTTTGGAACTTTGGAACGAGTGACTTTCTTTGGCAGTTCGTTTCGTCAGTGCAGTAATTTTCTGTTAGGCTACACGAGCTGAGATTTACAGTGTCCACCTTGAAAATGGCAACTGCAGTGTTTGCCGAAACGTTGGTCACACTCAAAAGCCGGACTCAACCCCCGAAAAACCAACGAATAAAAATAACGAAGAATTCTGTTTCACCTGCGCCTGCGTGTTGCTGTTTGCGCTGTACGCGGTGCAGATGTGTCGGAGAAATTGCCGCCCATGCACGGCAAACTGTTGGAGTGAGATCTGAAGTTTTCACTCTGGTGAGGAGCATGATGTTCTCGATATTAGTAGAGTCGTGTAGACGTGTAGGTATATGCCAGCGTTTCGGATAAAAGTACTGTCTCCATCTTCAGGGTGCTATCACTTTGTTAAGGTCTTCGATCTTATATGGTGTCTGTCAGTAGTGACCGAATCCGGTGTCATCCTGTTCAACTTGCGCACGTTCGTAGACTGCAGAGTCTAATTCCGCTGAAGGCATTGTTTTTGTCCTCGGCACGTACGCTCGAAATAGGCTGCTGTGTTGTTAACGCGTGGTCGATGTCGTTCTTCTGGATTGTAACGTTATGAGGACTTTTAGGTGGATACCAACGTTTCGGAGAAACATAATGTCCCCTCATTACAGTTGAATAATTAATTATTTGTTTATTGTTTAAACAGCGTCTGTAGTTTCTTATATACAAGTTGGGCTTTGGGGAATATGTTGCAGTAGGTTCATGTATTTGAATGGCATAAGTCGTACAGTTGGTTCTCGTTGGTTATCGGGACCGTTGCACCAAATTTATTGAACCGTAGGGCGATTACATAGGATTATTATGAGATTATTTGATCAAAACTTATGATTAAATTGTCCTTAATACTTTACTTTTCCCCTATAACAAAAAGTGCTTAAAGCAGTTAAGGATGATTCTCGAATCGAAACAAACCTGTGACGAAATATTGTGTTCGATTCTTTCACCCTGTGCACTGTGGTGTGTTTCAGGTCACTGCATTGTATCCGCTACGTCATTGTCGCATTCTTTGCGTCATCATCAGCACGGCTCAGGGGCCAGTGGAGGTCTTTCGCGACCAACCCCACGAGATGACCTTGACCTGCCTTCAGAGTCTCCTTTGACTTCTGATGATCTCTACCGCCTGTCTACAGCTGTCCCTCCAACAACTGTGACGCCATCTCCAGAAGTTCCCACACCCCCCCGGATCATAGAGTTGCCTGTGAGACAGCACAGGGAGGTGCACTTGAACTGCGAACTTGTTGCGGCGAGCAATGCCAGCTCCAAGCTACGTGCTAGCAGCCTCGTGTGGTTCCACGACGGCCGTCCGGTGGACGCCTTCATTGTAGACAAGAACACTCGGTCCGGGAGTGGATTAGGACACCGCTACATGAGAGACTTCTTGACCGGGCAGCTCCGAATTGCTAATGCAAGGCTGGAGGACGAAGGTGTGTGGCATTGCGAGAATCGAGATCCTATCACTGGCATCGTCATTTCGACTGGAAAACCCACACGTATCATCGTCCTGGGTAAGTACTGCTGTTTCTAATGCTTATTGTTGTATTTTTGGTGTTGATCGTGGCTAATCACAGTGAGCGCAGAATGTAAGGCACTGACTGTCTTGGAACACATGAAAACTGAGTTCGAGACCCACTCAAGGTGTGGTTGCTCGTGTCTTTCTCTCCTGTGTTGTTCTTTGTAGGTCGTCTATGAACATCATTTTAGATTAATTAAGAATTGTAACAGGCAAGTAGGCCTATTCTCTAATAAATATTGATATTAAGTTAAATTGTAAATGCTCATGAGAGTATTACGATCAAAGTGGATTATATAACCAGAAACTTCGTGCCTTACGCAGCTTAATAGTGCCGCTATGAGAGGAAAAGACGTTGAGTTGATTTGGACACCCGTGAGTCATAACGTGACTGAGGCTTGTTTGTCACATCAGCCTTAGTGATGGAGGCACAGAGAGTCTTCGAAACGCTCTATTGTATAATACGCACATGGCTGGTCGCCCGAGAAAACTTCATTGCATTCAGCCGCAGTGAAAACGTCGATCCTATGTAGAAGCACTGTAAATACACCAGAAGTAGCACGTTCAGTAACTAAATGAGACATCTCAACAGTTGTAGTATTTGCAAAGAAAGAAACATTTGTAGAATTTTCGTGGACGTGCCATTGAATTTAAGGAATTACTCCAGAGTTAGCTTGCACCTTAAAATATCTAATAATTAGAACTTAATTACCAACTATATTATGCAGTACATATTCATGTCACACATCAAACATAAACCGAATGATAATATTAAGCTCGTATCTGATTTATCACATTTCACCTCTGAATTCCACGAATGGAGTTTTCAAGGAGTATGAGATGAACTGGACACTTAGCACGAAGAGTGGGATATGAGAATCGTACAGGCCTACAATTTTTTCTTCTTCTTTTTTGATTTCCTTTGCTCAGGATAGGATTTATTGTCCTGATCTCGTGAAGTCGAGTCCTTTGAGACGTACAGAATTTTTTGAAAAACTGATTGTTGTCATCCTCTCTTCCGTAAAGTTTGTTAATAACGAATGTAATTGTATTGCTATTACAGCAAAATACTCGCGCATACTTCATATTGACGGTACCTACAGAATACTTACGTGTATCGGTAACGTTTTAAAATTGAATTGAACCCTAAGATAGCGCCGTGTAGACAGGTAGAAGTTTACCGACGTTTCAGAAATCTTGTTGCTTTCATCATTATGGCAATCGTTCTGAAACGTCGGTAAACACCAAGCAGATTACACGGCCCAAGAAGCTACAATAAGACAGCCATCTTCACGCTGTAACTGCTGCTGGGTCCTTTCGTATGGACAGTGTGTTTCTCACATGGTTCGAACTCCATAAAAGTCCACGTTTACCGTAATGAAATGCTTTTACTGTCGCTACTAGATTTCATTGTGTAATATGTGACTTAGTTCTTGGCATCGACGAAACAGCTTTTCCGTATCGCAGGGACAAGTGTGCCAGTCTTCAGTGTTGGTTTAAACGGCGGTAGAACCACAGCGCCATTAAACGACGCTGCTCCCACAGGACACTGTGTGCTGCAATAAAATACTGCCTGTATTCCAGTAAGACTTTACGACACAAAACCATGTGTATTGGAAACTGTACACATCTTCACTGACCGTTAATTTTTACGAGCAATAAATAGCGTGTACGTAACATTTTAAATGATCTGTGGTTTCGTCTTTTCAAGTGCTGTTAAAATGCAAATCGTTAAGTCTCCACTTCGGTCACTTGACCAAAAAGGTATTAGTAATCCCTGTTTATAGACTGCTAGAGAATTACAATACAGCTTTTGACGGAGTTAAAATCATCGCGGTGAAAGAAATGTGGATGAAAGGTACGGGCCACATAAATGTTTCCACTCTAAACTGTGGTATAACTTAATACTTTATATAGGTGTAACACTTGGTATTACATTATAAGGAAAGAACATGGGTTGAAGGTGCTTGCGAGTAAGTGCCCGGGGGGGGGGGGGTATTTGGGTCAAAGAGAAATGGAAGTGTGGGGACTATGGAGAAAATTACATAATGTGGAGCTTCATAGCTTATACTAGTCAACAAATAATAGAGCGATACAAGCAGGGATTCTGAGATGGGTTGGATATATAGCACGCATTACAGTATAATTCAGCTCGTAATTTAATAGAATAAACCGAAGGGAAGAAATCGTTTGCGAAACAAGTGTTGTTGTGACAGCAGCGTTAAAATATATTTTCAGAAATTTGGGTCTGAGAGTAAAAATTAGATTCAACTGGACCAGAATGAAGTCCAGTGTCTGTATTTTACGAGCACGGCTCATAACGGGTTACGTAAAACGTGTGAAATTTGTTGGCAAGCCAATCGACCCGATTTTTTAAGAGGGGCTGTGCTTCGTAGAGTTATCATTTCCAGCGGGTTCTTTCGTGCTTTCTTCTGACTAACTATAATGTAGTCTAATGTGTGGGATGAACGAGATATGAAAACTAAGATAGTTACTGAACTTGTTCAGATATGGACCAGTGGTTGTCCAGCCTCCAGGATGCTGTAGTCTCTGGCTAATAAACAGAATAGTCAAAATGTCGCGAATCAACATGTACGGCTGATGGGACATTTTCGTTCTCGCCAAATAACTATTTGCCTTAGTTTAAAAATGCATGTTTTGTACGTCGCGTGACTCCCAGATCAGAAACAGTCTTTGACGGAAAGCGTCACATGTTCAGGCACTCAACACGTTCGTCATTTGTCACGTGCACTTTAATGGATTCAAGCGACCGAACGCTGTCGGAACACGCGCGACCCGAATCGAATCCCGTCACTTTGTTAGGCGCGCGTTCCTACTTTCCTTCAGTGGGTGTGCTGTCATCAAATGCTTTTAATCTTACGCGAGTGTGCGTCCTCACAGCACAACATATTTTTCTGTCAGTTATATAGGCCTGCTGCTATAAAACAGCTCACTTCTCCACTTCAAAGCCAACTCTTTTTTTTTCTGCATGAAGAGAAAGTGGTATTTTTCGCATCGCTTTTTTGTTGCCTGAGCTCTTGTCGATTAAATGTTTCATAAATGTGTAATTACTGCTGCCCATACCTTGACGCAAGCCTTAAAACTTTATTTTTCGAAGGGAAATGATCTTGGGCAATATCAAAGAATTGCGTGATTTTCTTGTCTTCGAGAATGTACTCTTGAATCATACAGAATTCTGCCTCATGTATTCCGATTTAGCACTAAACTCTGTCCATTATCTGACCGAATAACTTCAAGCTACAGTTTAGAATTAATAAGTAAAATTATAAAATATATGCAGAATCGGATAGTTCATGTTAAACTGTTACCTGTGCTAGCTCGGCTAACACTTTAAAAACCGAAAGATAAAGTTTTCTGATTTCCTTCCGTCGTTCACGAGTACTCCATACACTGGAACACTATTGATCAGATAAAATACATTGTTAGTCAACTCCAGCGAACCTGCCATGTGCTTTTAGCATTCTGGCAAACTCCACCTTAATAAGATGTCAAAGTCTATACCAAACCTATTTAGAACAGTAGGATCATTCGGGAAATCAAAGAACGCGTGCGGAAACTGTGTATATCACTACTGGTTGCATCTTTTAATCTTTTTAAAATTACTTAGTATGAAACAAACTTCCCTTTGTATGAAAACAATTGTGTTTGCAACGAAATCCATCTATGCTAGCCACCCAGCTCGACAATGTCATTATCTCCAAACCTTTCCACTTTGTTCCGTTATTTTGACAATGTATTACATTAAACCGATAGTGTTAAAGAAGAATTTCATGAAATAATTTCAGTGTAGTTCTAAAGTCGTGAACTACGTTTTAAACATAAACGTTGTTTGGTGGCGTTTGTAACTGACGTTTTCCTCACTAAAACTGGCGCGTTTTAGTTGTTATAGACAAACTGACCTTTTTGCTATCAGCATCTGTTAAAACAGAAATGTGATTCTGCTACAAAACCGGACCAGTGATCAAAAGAGCATCGAATTTGAACGTCCAGCGGAATGCTTTGAAGTATTCATTGCACGCACGCCGAGAACAGCTGCTATGTATCGGGGAATCCGTGGAATCTGAAGTCTGGGTTCCTTGACTGCAACCACTTCTTGTTTCGTCGTTTCAGACTTTATTCTATGTACTGTCCTATCACGTTTTATGTTCTGTAATATAAAATCATTTCCTTCAGTGGTCTCATTTCCGGTTCTAATAATTCCGTCCTTTCCTCCTGCAACCGCGCCACGCTGCTTTATGCTAATGTTTTAAAATTGCCTTGGAGAATCAATTTTAAGTTCATTAGGTATTCGAATGTTTGAACGCAATTAAGATGTTACAAAATGTTTCTCAACTGGTCTTGGGTGTGGTACAAACACTTGCAAAAGTGTAAATGCTAATCCCATTTATTCAAGACGTAATGGAATTTTCGATGTGCTGTAAAAATTGGTCTGCGTCTAGACTGGCTCTGGGGGCCCACCCATCCTCCTATCCAATGGGTAACGGGATCCTTTCCCGGGGGATAAACGCGTGACGCTGACCACTCGCCCCCAACTATTGCCGAGATTAAGAATGATTAGGAGCCATACAACTCTCCCCTAAACGCCTACGTGGTGTATAGCGGGGCCAAAATTGAAACTGCTCTTTGCATCAAGCACCTGAACAACGTTGAAATAGTTACTTAGTTCTAGAGATAAAATTAAATACATGTATGATTTGAGGTTTTTGATAGCGGTGAGTATGAAGATTCATCGCCCTGATGATGCAGGCAGTATGACCTCTGAAACGTTGGTTAACATCGACTAGACTACCCAGCGCAACAACCCAGAAGACAGAAATCTTCATACTCACCGCCCTGATGATGGAGGCAGTAAGACCTCTGAAACGTTGGTTAACATCGACTAGACTACCCAGCGCAACAACCCAGAAGACAGAAATCTTCATACTCACCGCCCTGATGATGGAGGCAGTAAGACCTCTGAAACGTTGGTTAACA